TGTGGGTCTGATAAATTAATGTATTTCAAATGTATCCTCAACAGCAATGCCCAAGAAAGCAGACAACACTTATTTCCACAATTGTACTTCAAAAGCATTCTGATTAAAAATGTTTCCAATCCGACTTGCCACAGAAAACAGGAAAAACAGCCAAACACACACACACAACAACAATAAGCAGAAACAACGTCAAATCTGCACTTTTTCTGTCCTTTTGCTCCTGATCTGGGTGAACAGCATCATTGCAGGAGGAGAAATAAGTTGTGTGCAGGAGGTAAAAGTGTGGGTCAGCTGTACAGAACCACAGAGGCTGAGATTCAGTATCTTCTTCAAGGACACTTCAGCCGCACGGATGTTTGCATGTGACCACATGAGACTTGCTGAGGTCAGGGATGAACTCTGGTCAAGGAGGCTCAGCAGGATCCAAATCGATGTAACTCAAATTTAAGGGTCAGACAAGAATCATCATCATCAGTTATTGTTGTAGGGTTGTTTCATACTCTCACACTATATGTAACATATTTAGAAAGACATCTTAATGAGAAATGTTCCTTCACAGTCGTCCAGCTGTATCATCAAAACATGATCTTGCATAAGCTGTATATGTTATTACAATTTTTTGATTCCCACTTATTTTCCAGAGCAGTAAATCCATGACAACATTTGCAGCAGTTGACTTTGTGTATGTAATGTTTTGCTCCTAATGTTTCAGAGCTGCAGCATGTTTTCATTCCAGCCACCAGATGTATAGCCCTGCTATGCTACTCATTCTGGACACACATTCAGGAATGTTGGTCCCCTGAGCTTTTGCATTGTGTTCGAGTCATGCAGACATCTGTTAGAGGGAAAAAACCATCCATTCAGATACTACGCAGGACAAAATGAATGTAACACCCTCAAGAAAATAAGCCCACAAGATTAGACCTTCACTTCTGGTGATGGGAATGAAAAATTGGTTTTTTTTTCCAGTTATAATCATGTGTTCTAAAAAGACAAACATAGGTTTTCCTGCAAATGCCATTTAAACTTCACATCTAAAAATATCACTGACAATAGTAAATGGGCTTAGCTGCTCAGTGCCCACAGAAACCAAATCTCAATCTAATTGTTCTCATCATAGTGTTTCAATAGACTTTAAATCCATTTTCTCTGCATCCTGACAGCTTTATAGGAGGATGTTTATTCATTCCAGATCTCTTCTTGACATTTTTAACATTGTCTCTCTTTTACCAGTTGGGGGGGGGTGTCTCTCTCTAAATTGTCTCACAGCTGATGCCACTGCTGGATGCTCCGTCTGATGGACAGATACTGGTTATTTCGTAGTTCTCCACATACCTCCTCCTCCTGCAAAACAGTTCCCTAATAATGAAGTGTTATTCTCCTGTGAACGCTAGAAAGCAAAACGATTTATCCCCCGGACCAAACATCACATATGAAAACACACACACACACACACACACACACACACACACACACACACACACACACACAGAGAAATCTAAATGGAGGTGCAAACACAACACCGTTGACATGTGAGTAACCTGCACGTCATAATAATCCTGCAGGGCGTCTTGTCTTCTCTGTCTCCTCTCCACATCTCAAATTTCACAAATCATAATCTTTACTCTCCGTCCCTCCCACACACCAGCAGACTGTTTGGAGGTGTTACTTCACAGTTATAGCTCATGTAAATCAGCAGCATCTGACTACAGTCCCTCTGGTGGACGCAGTTAGACTTGCACTGTCCTTCAGGTGACACCTTGGGAGTGTTTTTATGCAGCTCATTAAATAAACTCGTTAAAACAAAGCTTCGGCGAAGACATTAGCAATATTTGTGATTCATTTGCTTGTGCATGATAAAAGATGACTCTCCCATTTATTACACTAATTTCAAATCTCTCGCTCATAATGAGCAATCTCGTAATCATATAATTGCAGAGGAAGCTGCTGTCAGGCAAACAGCAATAAGCTCAGGGAGGGGGGGGAATTTAACTTCGATGCAAAGTGACTTCTAATCAGAGGATCAGTTCATCCACCTCAATGTAAATGAATGCAAAAAGTGTCATGCTGCAGCAGGCCGCTCTGACTGTACGTGGATTCTCTGTAGCAGATCTGTCCTTTGCGTGAACCCTGCCCTCTGCGTTGTCTGTTATATTTCTGAAAACAAGGTGAAGCACCTTCTTCTACCTGACAAAGGAATTCATTATCCTTCCCCCCCAAGAGGACGCTCAAGTGGTATTCTCAAATGTGTTTGTGGTATGGCTCCAATCCAGCAGGGGAGAGTTTGCAGTGATGTGCTAACAAGGATGAGACCGACTTCCAAAACTCATGAATAAACTCTCAGTCTCACGTCTTCAGTTTCAGCAGCACACCCCCCACCCACTTTAGTGAGAAAAAAATAAATAACACGGGAGAGCGATAAATGCAAGAGCAGCAATATATTCATGGAGAGCATGAATATGAGCTCAGAATCTGCCTGGGATCTCACACACTGTTCACATTGTTGTTGTCTCCAGGTGTTTTAGGAGTGCTGACATAACCAATAAGCAAGCACGTTGGTCTTTGACATCCTGTTTTCCACACCAAATCTGCAGGGAGGAGAGCCAGCCATCACTGTGGAGACTCCTTCACCGCAACAGACTTTTTGAAATAAGACAAGACGAAAAGCTCTGAAATAGTATATAAATAGTGCCATCAAATTATAACCTTCAAGCAATCAAGTAAATTAAATCACTTACTTAGGTTTTTGGTCCCTGAAAGAGTTGTAAGGGATCCAGCTTAGTTTTAACTGTCCAAGTTGTCAAATCTTATACGTCTAGAGTGCAGCTAATGTCTGTCTTAGACTACGATGCTGATAATAATTGATTGTGAAAAGAGACATTGGCTCTTTTATTAGGATGTTACTTTCATATCATCTTTTCTTTATAAAGTCCATTGGTGCCGCTGGCAGGGGCCCATGTTTGGATTCCCCACTAGACATAAGGTGCCAACAGCTGGAAATCGTGCCCAACTCCTGACAACGCTGTTGGAGAAATTAAGGTTATGGCACAACGATGGTCCACAGATAATCAGAACACAGAGGAAAGGCCCTCTCTGCTCGCTTAAACACCACAGGAGGAGAAAAGTAATCTAGCTGAAAACTATGTAAAAGTATAAATCAGACTGAGGCTCCTACTGAGGACAAATGTTTTCAGGTTAATGAAGGGAATTCATTTCAGTTGAAAAAGAATCGTCTGATGTTAAAACTAAACCAAAAGTCTTCCTCATATTTCTTTTAACTCCCCTCTGTGATCATGAGAAAAACCAGCTCCATCGTGTCTGATTCTGTCTGTAATGGGTGCATGGCGCTGGGTGAAGAGGCGTGAAGCGTCCATGATAAATGATAGTTTCGAGTCCCACACATCATCCTCTGTGCGCCGGCACGTGCAGCTGCAAGTAAGTGGACTCTGAGCCAACATTTCTCCGTCAAATAAAGAAGAATAGAGAATCAGGTCAGCAACAGTCACCATCCACACTTTATGTCAACAGTGCAGGTAGTTAATCTCCACGTGCGGTAGATTCCGTGAGCTAAACAATGGAGTCATCAGTGGGCACGGCTCAGGAAAATGCCAGTGATAATAAATGACCTGACATTTGAATATTCTGGGTTGATATTTGGGCAAAGGCATTTAAGTGTGGGACAGTAAGCATCACATTTGACTAAAACACTGCTTGGTTAAATACTCTGTAATACTTTGGACTAAAGGAATCTAAATGTGTCACCACTTCAAATATTAACAATAGAATATGATTTTCATAATATGAGATCATTAGCTGTGGTCAGATTTACGGAATTTAGTTTGACTGGCGGTCGGGGCTAAGAGAGGTTTCTGATCTGACATCAATAAATCTTTCTTTGAAAATAAATTCCATGATGGAAATACATTATCAATACATTCACTATATAAATATTGAACCTGTTCAGCATAAGGGAAAGTCAGCAAATGTTTTACACTTCAGCAAAAGTGTAAAACATTTGTTTGTTCGATATTTCATTTGGTTATAAAAGCCTGATACTGTGAGGCCATGTCTTCTCCGGGCCATTTGTATACTACCAATTTTGAGGGGTTTTCATTTTGAAATTTAGGATTTTAAATGATGTTGTAATCATCACATGCTGCAGTACTTAAACACATTATACACCAATAAACTGTGATTGGAAACTACAATAGGAAAGCTAAAATAAAAGTATGGCAAACAAACTAGTATTGTACTGTAAATGTTTTTTCACCGTGATAAGCTGTTGTTGTGGAATTACATTATAAGTACACTGTGGAATTACAGTATCATGCTGGTAAGTGTAGCTGCCAGTAATTTAGGGAACGAAGAAAATAAAATCCCTCTTCAGTTCTTCCTAAAACATCAGACCATCCTCCCTCCAAGCAAAAGACAAGTTGTAGTGAAACAACATCTCGACATCCGTACACCAGGTAATGTATCAGTAACCCTTTATGCCATGTCTCATGAATGAGCTGACCACTTCATAGCCAAGGAATCAATCAAAGATGTGATGCTTCATGGATGTGGTGAGGTTCAGGTGAAGCTGAGGGCACAGGTAGATGGAGAAGGTGGAGTAATAGAAACTTCCACTATGAGAAATATATGTTTCGTTGCTCATAAGAAATCACAACCTTGAGGTGTATAAAGCCGGAGCATCTACAGTGTTAACTGATTTTATCAATTAGTTTAGCGGAGGGAGCAGGAGCACGGTCCTGGATGCTGCGCTCTGATTGGTCCGCACGCCAAACTCGTAACGCGCAGCGCTCCCATATAAACCCGTGCAGACCTGACATCGGCATCTGTCAAAGGGATAGTGAGGAGTCCGGTGTGGACACGTTTTGCTGGCTGCCTGTACTTGTGCCACATATTGTTGCTCGGCTCGCGTTTGGAGCGTCGTTTCTTTTAGGAATCCCACGCAGAGCAGGAGGCGTCCCTTTGCGTTCAGTTGTGTGATGAGCTGTGTTGAGAGGAGGACGATGCCTCTGAGGACCGGACTTTTCCTCCTGATGGTGCTGAACGCATCCGCTTACGAACTGGACCAGAACGAGTCTTATTCGCCCAGGAGAGCACGCTTCTCTTCCAACAGCCCTTGTAAGTATCACGCTGCTCCTATTTGCATACATCTCAGAGGGCGCACAGCTTTTACGCACCATTAACGTAACGCACAGCAGCAAACATTCTTTTATTTCCTCTCTTTTTTTATTTTTTGGCCTATGCAGCCTTTTCCTGTGTAAATGAGGGGATTGATGAGGGAAAATATCAGCTGGATTGAGGCTGTAGGTTGTTTTTTTTTACCGGTGTCCTGCCGGCAACAGATGAGCATGGAGCCTGGCGCTGACACCTGAGAGTGCAGGCTGTGTCATGCTGTAAGTCTCTGTGGCTTTGGCTGCTGCATTGGTCCAACTATCCAGCATTATACTGGACTTGAGGTGGTTACAATGCATGGAACACAAATCATCACGTGTATCTCTTTGTACATTTTCTCCAGCATGCCTCAGAAAAAGCCACAGACCCACTGGGGCTTTTGGACAAATATGTTTATCCATCATAAAATAGAAAGACCCTAAACCAAAAATCCTTCTTGATAATCATCAGAAAATGACACAGCAAAGCACGAATCTGCATGGCTTCATTCAAATGTTCACTTTTCTCCCTTCACACAAAAGGCAGCCCCGGTATCAGGGATGCTGATTCCCTCCTGCAGGAACTGCTTCATCATCATACGATTGCAGCTCACTTCTCTCTGTATTTTTGGGAGCGACCTCTGGTCCCTGATGGCAGCCAGACTGACTGTGCAGGTCAAAATAGGGGCCCCAGATTCAAAGTCTGCCAAGCAGCTTTAGGATCCTCAGTGACATCTCTTAACACTTATTACGAATGACTTGAGTCAGGCCGCCTGCCATCTCACAGGATTCTTGGACGGAGAATAGGGAAAGGGAACTATCACTGATTTACAGATGAGGTTTATTAGCCACACATTTGTGTAACTTTTCAAGTCGGCCACAAGGAATCAAACCTGTGTTTCTTATGGTCGAGATTGGTTTTCGGTGAATGGGTGGAACGGCTGAATGCTGCTGCTGCAGGAGCATTGTTTTACAATTTTACAAAGCTGAGGATCAGGGTTACTAATGGGTTAATAAGCCAAATAACTCGTACAGTCATGTGATGCTTCTGAAATGAACATGGCAGCATTTTCTGAGTGTGTGTTTCATTATGTAGATGTGCATGGGATCAGTTGTGGATGTGCATATGGACTGTGACACCTGCTCAGTTATTAGTTCTGAATATTAAAGCGGTTTGGAACCCGTGTCTTTAAATTCAGCTCGACAATTACGGCCTGTGTCAAATAATTGAAAACAGAGGCTTGTGGGACAGAGTGTTCGTATGTGTGTGTGCCAGCAGTACAAGTATGTTTATGTGTGTCTGCAGGCACGCCAACAATTTTCAGGAAACTCTTTGGTATTTCTGGTGATGTTCGTCCAAGCTCTGCTGAAAATACTCAAACAGTAGAATATGGTGTCTGCCAAGAGAAAAGTCCACCAGCGCCAAACAGTGTCTGAGAGTCTCTGAGCTGTAAGGTGTCCAATCCCCGGTCGAGTCAGAGTTTGACCCAGAGCGACTATACAGTATGGCTTTTGTGAATCACCAAAGTATGAAAGTTCTCTTTTGTTTGTCGCATACTTTGGCCCGAACCCCGGCAACCCCTTGTGTAATGAGCTCAGTGAGTGTGCAGCGATTCCCAGTGATCCCAACGGTTGGCTTCCCCCGCTGACGGTCCATTCTCTGTGCCCACAGCAGATGTGGCACGCTGTCTCAACAGTGCCCTCCAAGTCGGCTGCGGAGCCTTCGCCTGCCTGGAAAACTCAACTTGTGACACAGATGGCATGCATGACATCTGCAAGTCCTTCTTATACAGTGCTGCTAAATTTGACACTCAGGTACACACTTCAATTCATTATCCACCATGACATGTTATGTATTTACATGCATGTGAGCGGTGTAGCATTATAAGGGTGTTGCTGGCAGGGAGAAGAATGTGTGAAGCACTGCGGTTCTCTCTTTTTTTTTTTACAGGGTAAAGCATTTGTGAAGGAGAGCCTTAAGTGCATTGCCAATGGCATCACCTCGAAGGCATTCCCCACCATCCGCCGCTGCTCCACCTTCCAAAGAATGATATCTGAGGTCCAAGAGGAATGTTACAGCAAGCTGGATATCTGCACTGTTGCCCGATCAAATCCAGATGCTATTGGTGAAGTGGCACAGCTGCCAAGTCACTTCCCCAATAGGTGAGCTCCCTCCTGACATACAAGTTGATTCACGATATCAAGTTAATGAAAGACACCAGGGCTCAAAATGCTGCTCGTAGCGCAAATATATATACATGATAGATGGCCTTTGTTTTATGTAGCGTGTCAGATGTCTATATTTCTACTGATGTTTAGGTTCATCTTCTGCTCCATGCACTCATTCATACGATGCAAGAAAATGAAACAGGAATATCAAGTTTAGATGGTTTGGTTCATTTCTTTGTGGCAGTGCATGTAGGATTATGGCTTGGGTGTGGACAGGGAGGGGGAGAACAAGGCTTAAAAGGGACTGGACCCGGGATGGTCACGCCCATATGGATTACAACAGCACATGTGCACATATATAGAAAGGTTTTATGAGCATCTGAGAGCACAACAAGAAGATATTGTAGATTTCAGTCCTTTTCAAAAAATTCCTTCTGTGACGCTTCATGTCATTTTAGGTTTTACGGTAAGCTGCTTCAGAGCCTGGTGGACTGCGACGAGGACACAGTGGACCGCGTCAGGACCAGCATGGTGTCGCGGCTGGGCCCAGAGATGACCATGCTTATTCAGCTGCTGCAGAGCAAGCCCTGCCCATCCACTGCTGTGGCTGCAGCTGCCGCCATCCCAACTGGAGTGGAGGGCCGTGGGAGCTGGCGCTGGTCCATGGGTCCCCATATGTACAAGATCCAGCCTAATCTGCGAAACAGAGACTCTGCCAGTCATTTTGGCAAAAAGCGCTCTGCCAGTGACAGCTCCTAACTTCCGCTCAGTCTCAAAAGAAAAAAAACAAAAAAACACTCACCCTCAAATCATCATGAAAGCTCCTCTATTCTCTAGGGATGATAAGAATCCATTCCTCCGCTAGACTGGTTACAGAAACATGCCCCTCTAGGGAATGCTGGAATGCCCCATAGAGTTGATATCAGAGTTTGATTGTTATTATATTGTAAATCCTACACTTTAGGCTTGAGAGAACCCCCCCCCTTCCATCGACTGTTTCCAAACATGTCCGCTCACATTTAGTGTTGAACATGTGGCTGTTGCATCTGTGCAACATGGTCCTGTTGGATCCTTGTCACCTTCTCCAACAGAGATGAATCCTTATGACGTCTTCTGATGCCAAGCAAAAAAAAAAAAA